CGCTGGTAGCTTTAAAACTGGCACTGCGTAAAGTAATGTAAAAAGGTTGACATATTATGTTCTGTGTAGTATATGTGTTTGTGCAACCTAAGAATAAGGCATTTAAATTTTGATTAGGCCTCACCAAGTAAATACCTATTAAAAAAATTACTGAAATATTTAACAATACATATATGAATTAATTTCGAGGTAGTTACAATTACTGGCCGGTTGCTGACGACCGTTTTACTTGCTCTACCATAAAAAACAATTTGCAACTTCCGTTATCTTTATAAATATAATTGGTAGTTATTGTTGTGTAAGCACGCGTTCCGTCTATGACCTAGTTCAAAGTCGTAATATTACATTACGATGCAAACCTGCCAGTTTTAGCTGCACTCAATAGTAACGCTGTAAAAATGCAAACGTTAACGAGTATTACTGTTTCATCACGTTGTGTTTATCAATGTTATAATTTAGGCAACAGCAATATAATTTATATCTTACTGTTTGATAGAAGGTATCTCCAGAACGTCTTAACAGATCTCGGTTATATTTGACATAGACGTAGAACATAACTTGGAAGAATGCGTAGGCTACTAATTAAGTTTTTATAATTCCGCGCGGATGAAGTCACGAACAAAAGTTAGTACATACTGTTAAAAGTCCAGAACAGCTCAATGGTATTGTATGAAATTTTGAAACAGAGATTTATGATAATCTGGAAGAGCGTTTTCGCTGCTGGAAAAATTATCTACTTTTTTATCTACATGGATGAAGTCGCGTAACACATCTAGTGAGTGAATATAAATTGTTGAAGTCTCGCCTCATAAACTCACAAGCAAGCATTCAAACGGCGCCGCCTCGACCCTACAGCTTTATTTATTTACGGAACCCTCGTAAATCACATTGAATGTTTTGAAATGAACTCTTCGTGGTATTTTTTTTTATCTTATTTACATTTCCGATGGCCGCCACTCGAGACTGCAGCCTGAGCCCTCGAGGGATGAGTTGTACAAATAATGTCATCAAAACCCCTTATAAATATACTTTGTTATTATAGTGGTTAGTAACAAACTGAAGAGGAGTTATAGAATATTATTTTTGTTTGCTGGCCAGTGCGGATTGAGTGACTTCACACACCTCTTTAAATTTCTTCATACATATATGCATGTCCAGGTTAACTTAGCTCATTAAAGCATTGACAAGCTATTGATTCTCTTTATTTCAAACTAGCCGTAGCACGCGACACCATCTGCGCGGAATTAAAAAATTTAAATAAGTAGTCTATGTGTTCTTCCAGACTATGTTCTACATCTACACTAAATTTCAGTGGGATTCGTTGAGTCCTACCGGTGATACTTTTAAACAAACATCCATCCATCCATCTAAACATTCGCATTTATAATATTAGTAAGATAGTAAGATATACTAAATAAATAAGGACCATACCGCGAACAACAATCTTTTCGTACAAGGAAATAAAAACAGTCTACCTTTTTAAAGAATTTCTATAAGATGTCTGAATGTAAAAAAAATACGTGCGTGCACCGAGCATTGAAAACTGGCAGTAACCAGTGTTGGCAAGACGGTAAAGAAAATGAATACGAGCGGGGTACAATAGCGACCAGTCTCTTGTCCTGAATACTGTTCATACCCCAATCCAGAATATGTATTGAAATAAACTGCTATGTCGTGTAACCCGACCAAGGTACACGAATGTATATAACTAGATGTAGCCCATGACTCGCGGACGT